TCAACGATAGCTGTTAAACAAAAACTGTGTTGAAGAAAGTGTTGGGGGGTTGTTAGCTTATATTTCAATCTATTGGGTGACTATGACTGACCAAGCAATATATGTTGTAAGCGAGACCTTCAGTGTTATCTAGAAAATAGCCTGATAAGTAGAATTTCAATTGTGTAGTTCGTATAACTCACTTCAAGAGTGTGCAATAAGACAAACCATCAAAGGAAGCTCACATAATTGTTTATATAAGTGTGTGTAACTTTTATGGACAAACAAATCTCTTTAATTACATATACACTAGACATGTACATATTTGCATAGTTCAACAAATGTGTTTTTTATGAAATGGTAACTTCAGTTAGTTGGTAATTCACAAATAACGACAACAGTGAGAAAGACAAATATGAAAAAAAAACAAAAAAACACAGCATGAAGCTTTCAATAAAGGGCGATTCTTTATGTATAAAGCCATAAGAATAAGCAACAACAAGAACTTTATTCCGACTAGTTCAAGCCACCTTTTGAGATGACATACATTGGAGAGTTTCAAGTTCATAATATAAGAGCTTCAGTGACCGAGAAAGCTCAAAATTTACCCGATTGTGAATGTATTAGCTTGTTTCGTGTACGCCAACAGCCTAGCTACCGCCTCTCAACCTTTTGCAATTTGCAATAAATGCAGTCAAGGTCACAAAGAAGTTACAGGGAAAGTCTTCTGTAATTTGTCTTGTGCATTCTTCGATTATACCCTAACCAAACGACTAGGGTTTGAGTTATTGGTTTAATGATCCCAAGGCTGCTCAAACAGGTCACTGTGGTTGCCGTTTTCAGGATATTGGCGTACTGGGGCATTTATAAAGTTGACAAGTAATCTTTGCCTGCGGCGGGACACATCGAGTAAAAAATTCACTTCTTGCTTTTTTGTGAACTCGACAGTGAAACTGAAGTCTGTTTGAGGCTGCAGCGTATGTTCAACGACGGTACAGTGCCGTTCTGTCACCTTTCTGATAGAAACGAGTACGGTCGTTGCAAGGACCTCGCGGCGATCTCTTGACGACTTCTATTCGACGATTTCTAGGCATTTTCGCAGCTGCCGTGGCGAGTTCTTCACTGTTTTGAACTTCATCGGTCTCAGGCATGACTTGATTTTAGTAGTCATCTTACCTGTCAACTTATTCTCGACGATGTTTTGTCTTTAGCGATGTAGCGAGTGGAGCGTCCTTCTCACGTTCAGTGAGATCTGGGGCTGCCGATCAAAATGTAAGCACGAAAACTACTGTTACTGTCAAGATATTCTGTTATCAACCGATATTAAACACACAATCACAGATGTAAAGAGCAAACATGTTTATTTAAAGCTCTGACTCCTGTTTTTAAAAGTTAAGCGAGAAAATTATTAAATTTGGAGACCTTAAATTCGTTACTCACCGAAGAAATACAGCGAAAAGCAGACGCCTACGACGCCTACAGCAGCAGTTTCTTTGTTTACATCACGTGATTCCTCTCCGCCAATCATATTCGTCCCTCTGAGCGTTCCCTAGTTCGCTCTGTTTGTCCCTACATTCCCTACGCAAATCCAGCGTTTAGCTAGGGGCGCGTCTGTAAAGCCGGCTTAACGTTGGTGCAACCGGAATTTAAACCCGTGCTTACCTAAGCTCGGTTTAGGCGCTAAGCCGGCTTAGGAAAGCGCCGCTTTGGGTTAAGATAAGCGACGTTGGTGCAACCGGCCCTTAGACGTTTAATTTGTTACACTATGCACGCCAACTCGTGAGCAGTGATTACTTTGCGGAGAAAGGGGGTTATCCTCAATGAAGTCTTCGTTCCGGGTGAACAGCTGAGACATTGTACTGTTTTTTTTTGTTCACAGTGCGCCGACAGTATGCCGACAGCATTGAGGTTTCTACGTATCCCCGGTGGCCAGCAATTCAACGATGACGAGAAGCTTAGCTTCTCGTCACCGGTGAATCGGTTGGGCAAACGGAAGAGAGGGCAAACAGTTGAGATCGGCAGGAATCGCAGAAACGTGCGTCGCAAGGAACGAAAACGAGACTGTAACGAGACTACAGCACCGGCGTTGCCAGACTGGAAGAAACACGGGAAAGTTATGCGTTGTTTATGGCGAAACATATTGAAGGAAATGTTTCTTACATTTTCGAATATCGTCTACAAACTCTAGCATAGTAGCTAAAATTTCTTCGTACCATCGGAAGCAAATAAATTGGCCTTCAAGTACAGCATTACTATATTTTGACTTAAAATACCATACTAGATCGATGACAACCAGCGGAAAAAGAGGATAAACAAAATGACTGGCTTGTTTCACCGATAGATGGCGCATCTTATTGCCCAATCAAAAATAATTATTGTTGTTCTATATCCAGCCGTTTATTACAGTACCTAGGTACTTTTCTTTTCCTAGGCACCGTGGTTTACCAAAATGGGTTTACCATCGCTTCGAGAAAACCGGCCCTGGTGGTAAGTAGCCAGGATAACAACTGTTGACGTCACGGCGAGGCAAATACCAGTCGTGACGTCACGGAGGGAAACCATAAGAGGGCGCCACCAAAACATCTTGGCGCTAATAGTGTACACCTTGTCGTATGGCGAAGGTCGGCAGGGCTCGTGAGAGAACACGTCGCACTGCACTTCCACGCCCTTCCAGGTGCTCGATTAACGCGCGCACCTCAGGATCGTCTCGTTGACGTCGTACTGCACGTGCTGGCGTCAGCAGTAGTAACGTTTCAGAAGCAAATCCCTAAAACAAATGGCATCTTACACGCGCGTTCGTCAACGCTTTATTTGGGTATTTACTTCGAATCTTTTATACCGGGAAGGCGTGCGGGCGTGGCGCGTGAGACAACATACCCTGCATTCTCCTTGATGCTCGGGTAATTTAGCAATAGATCAACTAAACTGAAACGAAATATAGTTGGTACATGGTCAATGACAATGGTGAAACCGGTTGAACATTAAAGGATGACACAGAGGCAGAACAATACACACACAAAGCTGCAGTGATGGTGGAGAACCACTTGAACATTAAACAATTAGACAAATATAGAAGATCAAACGATTACACAGAGACAAAGCAATCATTCAATTTAGACGGTGCGCGCTGCAGTCGTGCTGACGTTAGTGATTGCGTCGTAAAACGTTCATAAAAAGGGGCGTTCACTCAAAATTTGCGTTTTCGTACTCACAGTGAGCTGCGTCGTGAGTCCCATGACGAATGCTATCGCAATTTATAAAGAACCAACGATAGTGGTATAGGCAACCCATTTTTTATTATTTGACACATTGATTTACAAATACGTACTAACAATGTGCGTCTACAGTTCGTAGTTTATTAAAGTTAAAAAATTCAATGTTTAAATTGCGACTTGTAAACCGGTTACAGAAACATGAAAATGTATAGTTTAACATTTGCCTGTCGTAATTACTCTGTGCAAAAACACCCTTCACTTATCACGACGAGTTATTAGGCTTCAGCATTTCCGGTCAGCATGGTTGGACAAGTTAAACTTTAACTTTATTTTTGTTTCTTCTCGATTTTTAAACTAGCCTTCAACTTGCAATTGTATCAATTCGTATATACATATAATAGCAAATCATTTGAGGAGACCAGTAATGTGGAAGTCGCGTCAAACGTTGCAGAGTTTTTATTATTTGTTTTGTTTGGAGCGGCAGTTTCTTGTACAAGTTTCCAGACGTGAGGCAGAAATGAATGCCTCAGGGTCTCGGTCTTACGGATGTTAATGCAAATAAACCCTTTCACTTTTACCTTGTGTTCCCAAGAAGGGGGCAATAAATTAAGTGGGAGGGAGGACGAAAATTGTAGACGAGCAATGTTCTCGAAATAGATAAAAAATAGTAAATGCGCTATAAAATATCCTAGAGATGATGCCATGTATATAGTGGTCCTTCGAATGGGTTGAAACATAACACCTTATGTTTTCAAAGGACATAAAATTCTAATAAGTGTCGTATTTAGGATCGGATGGTAAATCTAAAAAACAGTGTATTTTTTTCGAAAGAAAAAGGCTTTCGTTTTATTGGTGTAGTTTTTACTGAGTTTTCAAAACCCAGAGTTCAAGATTTGTTAAAGTTCTACTACGAGAGTTATCACATCATTAAATTTGTCTCATCAGCGGAAGAAAAGGCGTTTTTTGCCCGCATAAATATGGAGTTGAACATCGTTATGTAAGTTAATTTCAGTCACAGACAGCGTAAAACTCGTAGTGAGTGGCTTATTATTGTAACGCTTCTGGCTTTGTGATTAACCCATTGGCGGTCTGATCGGATAACGCGCTTTTCCCTTTAGCTGCGGACGGATAATCAGGCGCTCGAGACTCGCCACGCCCGACGTCGCTTGAAGTGCGACATACAGTTTGCGCTTTCTACTTTTGTACGCCTCCCCCTTTTCTATATCCCCTCCACTTTTTAACTTGCCGCAACTTTGATCCCCTCGCAATTTAGGAGGGGAGTGCTCAGAGGATTATCTTCCCTGCAGAAAACCGAGGTTGTACGTATGTCTGCCTTTAAGCTGTAGCAGACTAAATAATTTTAACACATTTGATAACAAGGAAATAACCTAATATACCCCTTTGACGACCAAAAAGTCGGTCATGCTAACCCAGGATTAGGGGAAAATGCTGGATTTCCGTTTTGTATGTTTGAAGAACTGGTGGGGGTGGCGTGCTTTAGGTTTTTTGTGTTGGTTTCCTTGGGTGGATTATTGTGCTGGTTAGAAGGGTTCAATCTTTCATTTGTGTGTGTGTGTGTGTACTTCTCTTGAATTTGGTCCTATTTAAGGATGATTCGGCCTAATAAAACCTTAGCTGTGTTTGGAGCTTTGTGTTGTCCGCTCCGTTTTCCCCTCGATCCTGGATTATCATGTCAGTATTGTACCATCTCGAATGCACACTTGCTTTAGTTTCAAGAATACGGTCTTTTCTCGCATACCGTCGGGTACTTGATTAAATCATGAAAACGTTCTTCTTGATGTGGGCTTAAGAGGCCTTCCAGTCTTTCTCGACGTCCATCAGGCGCGCCAATGTTCTCCAGTGTCCCAGATATCCCAATAGCTTTCCGACGCACACAGTCTGATTCAGGCTGCGAAGACTTCGGTCAAGGACACCAATGAAGTTTTGCTCCAGACTTGACCCCAGCTGGTACTGCGCAACATGTAGAAAGAAAGAAAGACAAACACTTATACAACAGCTTATACTATCACAGGAAAAGACGCAGGGTATAGGCTGAGCGGTAGCAGGTTGAACACCGCACTCTGAGCTGCTCTTACATGCTCGCTGCAGCAGTGGCAGCTCATTGGGATTTCTATAATCAGTTCAGCCCCAGGGTGAGCTGTATTGCGTCCCAGTAATCATTAAGCCTTAGTGGCAAAAAAAGCAAGAAAAAAACAACAACAAACTAACTCCACTTTGTACGCTACTGAGACCTCATGGCCATTTATATATTGCATTAACCGTCTGTCTCACTGTATGAACTGATCAAAAGGAGATAATTTACCTGTGTTTCGAATGCATCATGGTGTAGTATACACTCATGGTCTTATAGGTGGGTAGGAAGTGGAGAATATAAATAACAGAATATTTGCCCGGAATTTCGCAATGTAAAATACAGATTTCACAGAACTCATCTATTTATATAGCCGGTGCTAGGTTAACAACCTAAAACCAGCTCTCCTCCAGGACGTACTCGACGCCTTCCACCGGCTTCGGCTGCGCGTGTGACAGTATTTTCAGAGGCATGAAGTTCTTTCTAGAGGCAAATAATCTGCAGGGTTCTCAACGTGGCGCCGACTAGAGGTTGTATTAACCTAAGCCCAACCCAAATGAACAAAGTTGTTTTTAATAAATGACTCGGCAGAGTTTTTTTATGTGGCTTGATCATTAATTTGCCTAGTACCTTTTTCATGGCGAGAAAAACGGCATGGTAGGCAGGCTCTCTTCCAGGGAAAACGAAGAACTGATCCGTTCCGTGGAGAGAGGCGGCTGTTTGACCCAGGCACGACGCAGGAGCGCGACAGTCCGGAGGAAGCACGTCCCATCGGCAAGGCAGCTCGTACAATCTCCCAGGGTCGTCATGGAACACCATGTTCAGGAGGTCTTGATCAGGCAATTTCATGACACTATGATACTTGTTCATCAGGTTCGTCACGATGGACTCCAGGCCATAGGCACGCATTCTGGTCAGGTTCATGAGAATCACTCCAGAGTTTAGTCCTGAACGAATGAAGTGAATTAATGTTTATTTAGACATTCTTGTCCGAGAGGGTGAAGTAACAGGCTGTCTAAGCCAAAATTAGTGAGCTTATCGGATCAGAGACTTAACTGTATAAAAGCGTCGTAAACAACAAGGACAAAGACGAAGTCAGTCTGGGTCCTTGTAGCTTTCAGAACTTTTATACTTTTAAAGCAACTGCTTTATCGGCGACACTTTGCAGAGATTTTGCCCTCGTCGCCCGTCGTCGCCGAGCACTCGAAAAATATAAAAATTATTGTTCTCTCCCCTCTTTCTGCGAAGAGAGGGACGTCGGGTCTCCGTCCGCTGCGCTGCGCAAATCGAGCGAAAACAAGCGAAGAGGACAACCCTGGCGTCCTTCCAAGAATTGCGCAATAAAGGGTGATTTATTGTGTCGTCTGCTTAAAAGACTTGTTTAAAAACGTTACTCGCGTTATGAGAGATCCCACTTTGGCTGTATCCCCTTGCTACGCGTAATGTTGGATCGTTTCAGAAGTTTCCCCCGCGGTCAATTACTTACTTCAGGGATCACTGGTGGCAGTCGTCAGTGGCATCCACGACGGCAACCACCACAGCTATAAGAATTAACCACGTCGCACCTCCTCCCTCAGGCGTACGTAACGGCACCATCCCACTCGCATTGTGCGACCATGCTACAGCTATTGCTTTCGTTTTTTTTTCGCACATTGTGGCCGAAAAAAACCGTTTGCTTAGTATGCTAAATAAACCTTGAATGTAGGCGAAGCTGGTATGTGGAACTTAAAACCGAACCACCTGCATTCGAGAGGCATCCGAGGTTTCGTTAAGAAATTTCTGCTTTTCTGGACGAAGGAACGCTTTTTTGCTTTATGTTGACTTTGAGTCGGAGGCTTTCGGGATTTTTGTTCTTACGAAGAGCGTCCAGTAAATATTAAGACTAAATCAATTTGTAGACACCTTTGAAATATGAACTGAAATTGCCTTAACTATTGTTCGACCTAGTCTCCTGCTTCAGCAAACCATTTTTCTTCTGTGGTAACAAGTTTCTGTATTCCGGCATCTTAGAATTATGTTGTCTGATTCCTGGACCACTGGAGGACTGCCTAAGACGTTTTGTCATCTGTGTCAAAATGTTGTCCTTTAAGAAAGATTTTCCAGTCGCCCGAAAAGGAGAAGTTCACTGGAGTTCAGACAGGAGTGTAGGGCGGGTATGGCAGGAACTCTCAATGGAATTGATAAACCCTCACAGTTTTGGAGGTCTTTTCGACAGCTCGCAACTTTTTATACTTTTTTGGTCAACATTAACTTGTTTCTGCATCCATCAAAATACAACTTTATTAGCTTTGTCGTGATTTCTATTGTTATGTCCAGAAACCTTTATACAAGTCGCAATTGCGACTTCGCATGCAGTAACTCGCCGATGCTTAAATGTCACCCAATGATACATTGTACCTTTGTAGCCGTAATGACACTTTTAGGCCGACCGTCTTGGGTGTCATCTTATATGAACTCACAACCTTCACGAAAGCGTTTGCACTATTCAAACACTGATGAACGTGCCGCATAATTTTTTCCAAAGATACATGATGGTCGAGAAATCCTTTTAGTAGATCCTGAACCTTCCTTCACTACAACTTTCACGACACAGCTGCTACTGCACATGAGCCAACTGGTCCAGCCCCATCTTAAGCAACAAAGCACGGCAAAAAGTGTTCACAGTTGCAAGTTCCACCACCAAGTGTGAGACACATACAGTTTGATTTGAAATACTTGTGAAACTAAAACTCGCATGTTAAGTTATCGCAACCATATCCGCATATTTACTGGACTTCCGTAAAATTTCACGCTCTTGGAACACAAGCCATTGCATTTTCTAGAATGCATCTACCCGATGGAATAAGCGAGCGGGACCCAGCTTCACTGCATAAGCATTAGCGGTTTCCAAATCTGCGTGCCTTTGCCACAAATACCTTCTAACCATTGGTGTATTAGGGTTCTGCGTTTTCGGTTTCTATTATTTCAAAATTCGGCGTACTTTTTTCGGTGTTTATTTTAAAATTGAATTTTCGGTTTTTTTCGGTGTATATTTATGCCCCAAAAAAGTTTATGGGCTTCTTTCGCTGAATTAAAATAAACACTAACGGACACCAGATCGATCTTTGTAGCTTTTATATTTGTGATCACTCAAAGAACAACTGCCCAGATACATTGAAAAAGAAATCGACACTTTATTTGGCAAATGTGTGCAACTGTAAAAGAAACAACAAAAAAAGACGGAAGTACAAACAAGTCAGATATGAACCCTATGCCCAAAAAACATGGAACTTTACCTTCTGTACATCGGGATTACGTGATCTTATTATAGTACACACACATGTACTTTCCCAGGTTTTCTTCGTTGATCCGCACTTTTTCTTTTTTTGTTAATATGACCCTGAGCTTCGAGAATGCCCTCTCAACGCTAACACTGGACACTGGCGGGCTGAGGAGATGAAGCGCTTTCTGAGCGAAAATCGGCCAATCAACCAGTTGTGACCGCCAAAAGAGACACGGTGCGACGTTATGAAGCACAACACAACATGCAGAGCTTGCATCCAGTCACCCTTACAACGAGTTTGAAAACAGGCTCGTACATGGCGAAGTCATGGGGCATTTCGGATTTCACGTTCCGATCGATGATGCGCACATGAAACCATAGCGCCATCATGTCATCCGTGTACCCCATACATTCGGACAAGTTTCGGTCGGCACTGTCGTTCCACTTTTTCGCCACGGCTGTGCGGTACGACTGGAAGGTCAAAGTGACCTTTTCCGGTTAAAACTGAGTCTTAGAAAATGAATTCGACGTACCTTTCTCGGTTTTTATTGGTTTAGGTCGAAAATGGCGAACCTACAAACCGACCTTTTTCGGTTAAAACCAAATTTCTGAAAATGGATTCGGCGTACTTTTATCGGTTTTTATCGGTTTAAACCGAAAACTCCGAACCCTATGTATAACGAAGGTCGTCCGTCCTGTTTGTTAGGCAGGGCAGAACACAGTCATAGACTTTTGATTCTTTCGAGCGTAATATAGAACTGTTTTGTTTTCCGTACGTCAGAAGCCTCGTCTCTAGCGTGTTTTTTTCTACTGAGGGTAACACTTCAGGATTTCGTCAGCATCCTCACCCAAAGCGGGACGGAATGCTACGAGCGCGTGCTAAGGTTAAAGCTTTTGCCGCATTCTTAAAGGGGCGATGCAACAATGTTTGTGCTTTGCGCAAATACCGCTTAGAACAGATCCCTGACGTTAATTACCTAGGAAACACCCATTCGTTTTTTACAACAGGCAATCGAATTCGCAAAAAATAATAAAAAAAAAAAAAACGAGGAGAGTTCATCCCCTCAACCTGGAGCCAGAACAAGTGGCCACGTAATCTGGAGTTGATGATATGCAGTCAATGTTGATCATAGCCACGCGCTGCGGTTTCCAAGGTACAGGACACGCGCTGACTTCCAGGCATTGTTATGGTTCGGCTATTGTCACCATTAAAGGGTAACTGCAAAGAAAAAAAAGTTTTTTTTTTAAATAGCCTAATTGGGACAAGCATGTCAAAAAACAATTTTCCGCGAGAAAAAACATTTTTTACAGCAATATTTATTGCGTGAGACTCATTTTAGTTTGCGGCTATTTCGTCCGTTTTAAATCGCGCGCCACGAAGTTGTGATTATGTGACGTCAATCCCAAAAGGTTCTCATTGGCTAAGAGTTTGATTGACAGCTTAGATCTTGGTTGTTAAACCTTTGTTATTTGTTGCAATTTCCTTTTGAGCGGCATATTTTCACGTTTAAAGAATAACCCATGTGATGAGAGTTATTATTCTTTACAAAAGGTTTACAAGACGGGCACTTCCGTTTGGATTCATACAAACAGACGCTTCGCCATTCTTTCATGGCCGCCGAAGTCTCTGCTCCCGCCTGTCTCGCCTACCTGGACTAATCGTTTCGCCGAAGTGATCAGTGTTTCGTCGTTTCGTGCTGACCCAGGTGCTTGAGTGAGACTTCTTGAAGTGAAGTAGTGTGTGTTTAGCAGCTGTCGCAAATGTTAGTGATAGGAATTGACGCGGGGTTTTGGCTTTCATAACGCGGTTCTTTCGTCTTCCTCTTTGCTTGCTTAACGTGTTTTATTTTTTTTCTTGCTTGTTTGCGCGTGCAAATGCTTACTTTTCGGAGATGTCAGATGCGTGATCCCGACAGTGAGCCTTCCAGCAGCCATGTCGCCCCGAAAGGAATGCTATTTGGCTGGAGGCAATCGGGCGTTCGCGTAGCGACCAACGTGTCTAGTTACGTTCTCGTCATATCGCTCTGGAGGCCGTCGAGATTCGCCCCATGTGCACCTAACGTCCGCGACTAGACAGAAAATAAAAAAGCACTATGTCCACTACGTAAAAATGGTCTCAGTTCATGCATCTGTAGGCAGGTACGAAATCGTGCCCAAATTTATTCACACCGCACGATGCAACACGTCGCTGTGCAAACGCAGTCCAACACGAAGCATAAAAACGGCAGATTTAGGACAACAATTCGGAGTCCATTGTTCAATTAAAACGACGTAATTTTGTTGAAAACGGCCGCAGCTTTTTACTCACGGTATGCGTCGGGAAACTTCCACATTTTGAAACAGAACGAGGCAGATTTACTTTTAAAAACGCTCCCAGCGTCCTCCCGGACCAGTTTGACTGGATCAGCTGACGACGACGGGACTTATCTGGTTGAACGTCAACCCCACAGCAACCAATTTGCGCTCCGTGTTAGCACCGCATTACGCACACCACGAACGTTTCAGCTCTGTCGCATCGCCGTGTTGCACCAAACAGAACAAGATCGCCGAAACCAACGCAGCGCTGTTGTGAACCTTGGCTTGTGGTTGCGCACTCGTGGATTCTGTGACTCCCTTCGCTTTCAAAGCGCGCACGACGATTACGAACGATACCTTCCGTCTTCCGGGAACATCACAGGGGCACTTCTCCGGTCACGTCTTCGCTACATGTGCTCGCAAACCGCGTCAAACCAAAACAATACCGCGGCCTGGCGTAGTTGCCAGATCTTGCTGGAAGTCGAGACGCTGCGTCGTTCAACTCCGCAACGCAAGGAGAGTGAGGGGCGGGGCGTACTCCTCTTCCGCGGGGGTCGAAAGAGCGGGAGTTTCAAATGTGGAGAGGTTCTGACTCTACTAAATTACGTCCTGTGGCGTAAATATTGATAAAAAAAATCATTTTTTTCGCGGAACATTTGTTTTGTGACATGCTTGTCCCAATTAGGCTGTTTAAAAAAAAACTTTTTTTTCTTTGCAGTTACCCTTTAAAGCGATTGGACACGGGCCACTACCCAATGCTTTTCGAGCTATCGATTATCACGAGCCCAAATCGAGTGCCCACGCAATGCTGGGGTCCAATCTATGAGCCGCATTCAAATATCGTCACTGGGCGGTACTGCTACCGTCCGGCTACGTCATCAAGTTTTGCGAAGGAGAGATTAAATGAAAACGCTCGGTTTTGTCCTTGAAATGACAGCCAACAAAGGAGTTCATTGGCCAGTGGCGTTGTGTGCGACTATCACTGAGTTCATCTAGTGCGAGTAAGCTCGTCTAAAGTGAAAAATATTCCAATTTAATATCGTTGCACCGCCCCTTTAAATTTGACCATGGAAATGCCGCTTCATTGAAGTGTCTGAGTTACCAATGTAAAACTTCGTAAACATCTTAAGATGCCGTCAACACTCAGCACAAGCAAACACCACCTGAGGTTCGTAATTTCCGGCCAAACTGAATGGGCGAAAATACATTGAAAGTTTTTTTTTTTGAAAACTAAACAACGTGCTTCTAAAGCCCGAATCAGAGGCCGGATTCACGAAACGAACTTACGCCGAAAATGCGCGTAAGTCAAAACGTAAGACAAAACGTAAGAACAAATTTGTATTCACGAAACAAAATTATCGTAAGTTTTGCGCAGATTACGGCGGAATCCTACGACAGCTCCGAAGCTGCCTTACGCGCCTTTTACGATCAAATCAGCATGGCCTACAGCGTCGCCCAGTTACTTGGTCGCGACGACCAACGGACGTTTATTTTTCTACGTACTCTTCTCGCGCGTCCCGACTTCAAGAGCAAGGAAAAAATAAAAGTACTTGAAACAGACCACGACTGACAAGAACGCTGGATTCTCAAACACCCGGCAAGGCTCGAACGGCCACGATTCCCCCAACCCCAACCAAGCGAGCTCGACAGAATATAGGCTTAGCAGGCACTCTGACTTTGCGCAGCGTTGCTTCGACGGTCCTTGGCCAAGACCGTCTGCCCACGACCGGCTGGCGTGCTCAATGCAATATGCCCGCGCGACCTTTGTGGACCCTTCCCGTAATACAATAATTTGATCGCTGGCCTCAATTTTAGATTAAGAGGTCAATCTCTTCCCCTTGTCATCTCTGTTTTCCAAGGCAGCGGTGACGAGCGCTCTCTCTCGAAAAGGGAATCTCATCGATTCTGTATCCTTGTTTTGTGTGATATAGTGCTCAAATAAACGCCGTATAGATTACCTTCGCAACACGGTGCGTACACTTTGTTATTAGTCTGCCATTTTTATTCTGACACGACTGCACGTCACTGTCGAGCTATAACAGTTCGTGGTAGCCACGCAATGCCGGTCCAACCTTTCTTTGGCGTATGTCACGTCAGTATCGAGCTGCAGTCGTAAAAGATCGGTCCCGAAGCGCTTACCGATTCGCGGTCCAACAGCGCGAATCCAGCCCTTCAGTCAAACGCGCACGTCCGTTCCGAGTGTGAACAGGTATTTACGTGGCTCTTGTTCAAACGTATCTTTCTTAACGTCGACTGACTCCTGCATCTCCGAGGCCGCAGAAAATGCCTCGGCAGTTTGTTTCTATCTACGTCCCTTTGCAAACGACTGACACGGGTCGTCTTTTACCAACGGTGACAGTTGTGTTAACTTCGTAACGATCGAGTTCGTAGCTGTCAACAGAGGCGGTTACGCATCCCGGCGTCGCCATCCGGACGCGTTTAAATCATGTTAGCATTGACATATCACTGCACAAACACGAACCCCAGTCAAGCGGTGGAGGAAAGGCCGCCTGTGTTTTTTATTAAAAATCCACGTGCACCGAACTGCTCCGTACCATGCCGAGTCCTCCGAGTAGTTGTTGGTGCTGCCGAAGACGCCGTCGCCATAGCAACAGCACCTGTACGTTCTAGTTTTTCCGTACGTAAACGTCGCTTTCCTCCTCTCACTTAAGAACGGGTTCGTGAATACCGATGTATCTCCTTCTTACGATGTTCTTAGCTTACGAACTTCTTAGCTAAGTTGTTGTAAACTAAGAAGCTCTTCGTGAATCTGGGCTCAGAACTTTGCTAAAACAATAAAAACTAAGACGAATCTTCTTCCAGCAATGTCTGAACGATATCTAATCACTGTTCATCTTCGGAAACCCTGGTATCATGCTATTTTCTTCATTTTGTTTGCGCCTGTCCTAGGCGTCTTTCCCAATCACAAGATTTGACGTCATGAACACCCAGCCCGGAACACCACGATAATTGGGGGGATATAAGGCTTATATTCATATTGTATGGCATTAAATCTAGTGCATGTTTAGAGAAAATACGTCAAGGACCAGACGGCTTAGAGCAGTTCTTACCATAACGTCCGTAGTATCTCGTTTTCCAGTTGTGCATGTACACACTTCCGTTATTGTCTTCGACGTCGGGAGCTAGTCCGGCCAGCTGAATATCATCCATGTTATCGAAAATGCTCCAGAGTTCCTCGACAGGGCGGAAGAACACGATGTCGGAGTCGACGTATAGCACCGCGTCCTCCTCACTAAGCATACTCTGCAGTGCAAAATGGTTACTTTGCGCTTTAATAAACTGAGCAGCAGAAACCTACGTTTCTTCATAATTCCACCAATCTTGTCAACACAAAATGTGCACCAACTTTTTATAAAACCCGTCAGGGCAAAATCCGTTGGCAGCGTAATATTGAAAAAGTAATTAAGTCACACTAACGGAAGTACGATTAAAGTTTTGCAAAAGTATTCGTACAGCTACGGTTCCTCTGTTGCAAAAGTATTTTACAGTTACGGTTCCACCACATCTGAGCCATGAACCACTTTTTTTTAAAGCTGAGCTTCCAAAGTCCGCTGCTGCGTGACGTCTGCGAAAAATAAATAGGTGGAAGAAAAATAGGTTTTAGGTAACTTGATCGGATAATACACGTACGGGTAAAAAGAGTCGCTGCGAAGCACAGGGTCCGAACAGCTCCTTCCAGTTATGAGGACTCTTTATCGGGAATTCAACCAAGCGCAGAGAGTAGGTGACACGTTGGAGAACGCTGGACGGCCATTCTCTGATCTGCGAAGTAGCTTGAAATTATTCAAAGGCACAGACTCACGTGCAGAGCGCGACACAGTGGGTGCAAACATGCATTTTTCACGCCTCTTTCCTCTCTCCAGCTTAGATGCTAGTAAACTTGCCTCCTATGAGGCACCAATAGAGCAGAGGGAAATGTTGTTCGACACAAAAGGTAAGAATAAAATGGGAAAATGCGTGAATGTCGTGTTTCCGTTGAACGTGTCGAGTAGTATACAGCTGCGTAGTGCTCATTTTCATCGCTCTTTGTGAACACCCGGTTGTCTCCACTGATGGGTACAACGATCCTGGCAAGCCACCACAATCACAAACACAAAGATGAAAAAAAAAGTCTTCTGATCTGTGGAAATGAACTTCCTGTAAGCCTTGCAATGTATGCCGACGTTTTGCAGAGGTAGAGTTTTCCTCTCAACGCTTTCTGTCAAACCGATATCTTAGCGCTAAGTTTTCTGTCACTCCGAGGATTGTAAAAATCCCCGGGAACCTCTTATATTCGTAAATAATTATATTATGGTGATCATACCAAAGAAAATTAATACAAAACTTTTAGGCTCACAAAAGCAAAAACTGCACATTTTTGAGGCCCGGAAAACCTCCGAAGCACCTAATATATTCAATATTTACTTTCCTAACGCTAAGTGTTTTTACAGCACTGAATAAGGCAAATCATATCCAAAAAAAAAGGTGACAACGTAAATAAATTCAACAAAAAGCAATACAAAAAAACATAAGTCAAAAGTTCAAGCAACTTCAACACACTTCATTCTCTCGGCGCCAGTTGTTCTTAAAAAAAACTAAAGCGGTACTGTATTAAATATACACTAAAATCGTTTTTATTCTGCCTTCAGGATTACAAAGATCAAAATTATATTTCAGATTGAAGCTTTGAGTAGCCAGAACGCCCCTTTAAAAATAGCGCTGAAGCCCCTCCTTCCCATCGCGTTCGGTGCGAGGAGGGAATTATGATGTGTGTTATACAGAGATCTCAACATTTCCGCCCTTTCCACACGCCTTATCCGGGGGTTCAGCGACCGAGGAAGCCAGCGCACGCTAAGCTTACTGCATCCAGAGAAAGTAGCGTCATTGCCTTCCCTACCTGCTAGCCAGACACAAACGGATACTAACATACAGACGACCACACCTCGCAAGGTGATTGGTTAATCTCTCTACGTTGCCATGGAAATCGCCATCATCGCCATTACCGTTCTGGAAGCGTTCCTCGCCAATATAAGCGTCTTTGGCCCTCTGTAGGCAATCAACTTATCAATCACGCCCATTTCCACCGATTTCTTGCAATTATATTGTTCGTCTTGAGTACTTGAAAACAGTTAAATTATTTTTCAGTGCCTCCAAGCAGGGATCACAGCATGTGGTGGCAATACGAAGGTGTACGCTTGTTTCGCCGGTGTGTGGATAGCAAAAGCTCGGTATACAAGAAACGTCTCCATAAAGCTACCCGCCACCAGCGAATTTAGATTGGCTCACCAAGAATTGAGGGCTCAAGGAGAAATTGCTCAGTGCAAGCCATGTTTGAGAGGCACAAATTATTTTTCTTGGTACAGTGTCGTGACGAGTGGCGCGAGCACCTGGCATCAGAAAAACGCGCTTTCTCCCAATAGTGTTTTTGCAAACAAAGTAGTTTCCGGGGTCAAGCTTTCTGATCTGTGCCGAAGATGCGTGCCAGAGGAACCTTCACAACACAGTGGGCTTCCAAAACTACCCCTTCCCCCCTTTTTTTTCTTCTATTTTCGTTGCTCTTTTAGATAATACTTTTTTATTCCTGAGGAACTGCCTCCTTCGTTTGGCTGCGTTAATTCGACAATTATGCTTGTGACACTGGTCTAAACTCGGGGAAGAACGCCAGAACGACAGTCCTGTGAGACTAAGAGAAGCTGTCCACAATCGGCTGTCCCTCTGAGGCAACTAGAATCTTTCTTTTCATGTATCCATCCCGTAAACACTTTTAGTTCTATGTGACGTCGGATTAATAAGTAACATTTAGTCATTTCAATGCTTCAAATCTCGGGGCTAACATTTTGAGGCGGTTCAGCAACAACGAAAAGATGTTTGGGTGCCTCAAAAATGTATGTGAAATGGGTGGTACAACAATTTTGTACTTTCAGTCAATACCGCTGAGAAGTAATCCTTGACGTTGATAACTTGCAAAAACACCCATTAGTTTTCCTCAGCGCGTAATGGCAGACGCAGAAACAATAAAGGGAAGAAACAGCTTCCCCCTCCTCTACTCGCAATGAGGACAAGCGGCCACGTGATGTGATTCTAATTACATACACTGTAAGTGTTAATCATAGTCATGAGCTGGGGTTCGCAGCGCATAGAGCAGGGGCTGAGGTTCACATATTGTTAGTTGGGCTATTATCAACTTTAATTGAACGCGAGCCGCTACCCGAATAAGTTGGCGATGCTGATTGCCATGAACCCGAGCACCCGACTCGCGGTCATAAAAAGCGCGTACGTCACGGCGGCGTGTGACTCTCGGTGCGAAGTTGTGATGTCATGTTACGTCACGGTCTATAAACCTAGTGACGTTCTCAATTTAAATCGACTTGACGCAGTTAGTCATGTGAGGTCGTGGCGTCACATGACGTGACATTACTTGACAGCATGTCCTGAGACCGTGACGTCACGTGACCATGTCACACATGATTAATCCCAGTGCCAATACAAAAGAGCCACGAAAATCCACAATTTCTCATACGTTGCAATCTTGTATATGACGATTTAACCAATACATAGAGATACAGCTACTAATTTTTGATTCACAAAAATTCATTTTGTGATACTAAAAAAAAAAAAAAAAAGAAGAAAAAAAGGACGATTATCATTCTTTGTAAAGCCGTATTAGAGCGGAGCTCTTGAGGAGGAGGAGTAAGGACGGGTACGGAGAAGGAGGAGGGGCATACATTTCTCTCCGTACCCTCCTCTCCTGCTCCCCTACCTTTTAGCGGGAAAGCTTCGGTAAATTTCCCGCTCTTGAGGAAGATAAGGGGAAAATACAGAGAGGAGGGCATGCCCCTCCTCCTCCCCTGTATCCTCTTCTATTCCCCTCCTCCTCCTCTCCTCCTCCTGTCCTCTTCTGCGCCTTCTCCTCACCACCTTCCTTCTCCTCCTTTCTTGAGGTATTTCGATTTTGCGATATACGGTACCAAACAATCTGATATATATATATATATATATATATATATATATATATATATATATATATATACTCAACAAAATATTAGCCCTTAAAGGAGTTAGCCGAGGAGGAGAGAAATATATAACATAAAATGTTATTTATTTAATTCCATGTAGAAAATGCCAAATTCAATACATAAGAGAAACTAAAACAAGCATAAGAAAACGCATGAATCTACATAAAAGTCATATACGTAAACACGTTGCCGGACCGGTTTCCCGGCACTTAAACTCCGCAGGACATAACGGACTTTCTGATTTTAATTTTATTATACTCCAGGGGGGCTTTCGAACCACCAGAGATCGAAAAAATAAAGAATCTGAATTTATCTATAAATTTAATACTTTAGAACCGAAGGGCCTTAACAGTTCGAAAGGATCATTGCCGTCCTTTTTTTTATGGACATTTAATTGAGATCTTCTAACCGGTACCGCACTGTTGCTTTTTTTTATTTTCTCGCTTCATCGTTTAATGTGACACGAGCAAACGCGTAACATTGGGCCTCTCATTGGCTTCACATGACACCAGGTATAGTTGGGTTATACCCAACCACATGTCCCAAAAACTGGTCTTATGAAAAGAATGGCAGTAATAATATTATATTTAATTATTTCCATAGTATTTATTGCATTGGTATTGGGATATATTAAACTTTTAAGCGAGAATTTAGTTGAGTAGGTACCCGCTAAACGGTAAGCATTTTTTCAATTAACTTCTTCTTTTTTCCGGCCGTTTTTTCTTTGATTGAAAGAAAAGGAGAACGAAGTCTTCTCACTTGACTGACGAAGAGCCTACCAGGCCCGAAACGTTTCATCAATCTCACTTTTTTGGCAACCTCCTCGGCTAACTCCTTTAAGGGCTAATATTTTGTTGAGCATATTTCTCTCGAGTGCCGTCTTTTGTTCCCAGGTGCTGTTCTATATATATATATATATATATATATATATATATATATATATATATATATATATATATATATATATATATATATAAAGTAATGAAGTCGGACTTCGAAACGTTGTTGAAGTTTTAAAGCATTTAGTGAGTCGATATACATAGATACAGGGTGTTTCAGAGAACGCAGGTCAAATCGCTCCGGCGAAAACTTCATCGCAACGAAAAAAGACTTGAGGCGTTTTGGTCCTGGGTGAGGGGCCCATTTAGGAAAATTATTAAAGTCTGGTATAATTAAGTAGTTAACTATTTTTGCCAAATTAAATTTTTAATATTGTGTTTAAGGGCATGGTATAAATTAGAAAATTGCTCAGCATCATCGAAAAACACTAATTCAACAAATGTCAGAACGATAGAAGGCACGGGAAGGATTTTACAGCTTTCTGAAAAACCGCACAAAATCGGCGGGTTTTTAAGTTCCGGTTTGCTATCGGAGTGCATCTCAGCCCCGGCGGCACCGCGCCCCGTGGAGAGGTAGTGCAACCAACGTCTGCTGCGCTGTCATCGCGCGTCGCAGCAGAGGCTGGTTGCACCATCTCTCCATATATATATATATATATATATAAAGTTGAAAATCCCAAGTCAGAGAAACAAAAACACGGAAGGTTTATTTCAACGTTTCGGCAATAGTCTTGCCTTCGTCAGGAATGGCCTATACAATATATATATAAATATATATATATATTGTGGTATCCTCGTTTACTGCTTGTCCGGAGAAATAAAATATAGTTCTAACATCTCAAAGCTCCACTCTGTCTAAGTTCTGCCGGTACCAGGAAACAGGACAGCAGGATCAAGTCGGGAGAACGAGACAGCGTCAGAGTCAACA